TGTTGTCCAATTGAAAACATATAATAGTATTTCACTACCCTATTTCTTTTCGCAACGTAAAATTTGTATGTTTCATGAGTGACGCCAACAGCATACATAATAATATGTAATTATTATCCTTTTTTTCCAAACCAATTAAGCACTCGTTAATTTGCATTTCAATTAATAACGCACACAACGTATATTGGAAGCAGGTCCGTAACTAATCACATGTAACAAAACTATATTTAAAACACTAGAAAATATATTATCAATGGCATAGTAGACGTGGTGCTAGAGGAAAATTCTCGGGATTCGTTGGACAGAACACAGAACCAACGAATCCATTCTTACCGAGCTCAAGATTCCAATGCGCCTCATCACTACATGCGCGCGGAGGAGTTTCGAGTTCTTCGGACATATCGCCAGAAAGAGAGGTGACAATCTGGAGAAGCTGCTGGTGACAGGCAAGGTATGCGGGAGAAGGCACGGAGGCAGAAATCCAATGCGCTGGTCGGACCAGATACGCTCCACTCTCAATACCTCAGTCCACGTTGCTATCCACACAGCCGAGGACAGGCAGGAATGGCGCAAGATGATGCAGGAGAAAGTTATTAGAGGAGGCCACGACCCTCAGCACTGAGGATTATCGACGCAAGGAGGAGGCGAGAGTAAACGTTATAAAAGTAACAAAACAAATATTTTTTTATTGCTTAGATAGGTGGATGAGCTCACAGCTTGGCGCGTGGAATTACTAAAACATTAATAAGCCCAATAATTACAGAGATCTGAACAACTTCAAATCTTAGGCCAGTGACGGAATCCACGTTGCCTTGCCTATTTAACTCCAGTAACCTCTTAACATGAGCTGGACAGTGAATTATCTCTCTTAGCTAATGAATAAAACATAAATTGTTTGTTTGGAGTCATTCAATAGAAACCTGTTCCACAGCTGTTTCTTTACATTTTATTTATGGTATTTAAAGAGGATTTTTATCCTTCTGACGCAATTAAATTACCATTACGATCGGTCTTGGCAAAAATTACATAAAAATTCTGTACAAATTTCCTTCTCTATCTTATCTTATACCTTTAAAGGAGCAATTCTTGTATATATATATATATATATTATATATAACCTGAATCTCGGAAACGGCTCCAATGATTTTCATAAAATTTAGTATACAGGGGATTTCGGGGGCGATAAGTCGATCTAGCTACGATTTACTTTCAGAAAATGTTGTTTTATTCGTGTTTTCAATAATCAATTTTATCGATAATTTTGAGTTTTTCTTTAAATAACCAGTTCATATTTTTTTATTAATCTGTCGGTAAGATCGAAAAATATTATTCGTATTTCAATATGTAATTCGTATTTAAATAAAATTTCTCGGCAAAGCGAAGCTCGGTCATAAACTAGTATTTCTTAATTTCGAACGACCGAACGAAAAAATATTCTGCCTTCACTATACGTCACTTATTGTTCGTAATGATACCTACAATTAAGTTTATACAACGTTCCGTTCACTTAGTTCCGACTTATGTAATCACCTTTGACTAAGTTACTTTTAATAGTCGTTAAATAACGCGATACAGTCGTCTCGGTGCACTATAAATGTTCACGCTCAATAATCGTGCTGTTGATTTAAAACACTCATCAATATGTCACAGTAAATGATTAGAAATGATTTTTTACTGGTGGTAGGACCTCTTGTGAGTCCGCACGGGTAGGTACCACCGCCCCGCCTATTTCTGCCGTGAAGCAATAATGCGTTTCGGTTTGAAGGGTGGGGCAGCCGTTGTAACTATACTGAGATCTTAGAACTTATATCTCAAGGTGTGTGGCGCATTTACGCTGTAGATGTCTATGGGCTCTAGTAACCACTTAACACCAGGTGGGCTGTGAGCTCGTCCATACACATCTAAGAATAAAAAAAAAAGTTAATTTTTTTAGTAATTTTTGGAGTTTACTCCTTTAGAATCGATTTACATATATAGGCCCGGGGTATGAAAATTATGGGGACCAAAATCGTACTAGCATGTCACACGAAATGCGTTATGCGCCTGATTGGCTCCTGATTGCGTGATGCGTGCGCGCGCCAATCAAAATCGTACTAGCATGTCACACGAAATGCGTTATGCGCCTGATTGGCTCCTGATTGCGTGATGCGTGCGCGCGCCAATCAGGAGCCAACGCGCGGCCGCGTTATCGCAGGTGACGCCGGGCTGCTGCGCCGGCAGTCCGCCACAAAGCCTCGTACTGATCGCGCGTTTCTCTCATTATTGTATTTTCATATATTTGTTAGTCGTTTGTTTTGTGTCTCGTTAATTTGTTAATAATCTGTAGTGTATCGTGTTGTCGTAATATAGAACTATTTCTCGTATTGTTTCGTTTAATTTTTTATATTCAGTAAACTCCAGTCGTGCGTCGGAGCGGACACACACACTTTTTTTATTGAATTGCTTGTTTAAATAATAATAAATTACGTTTTATATTAAAAATAATAATTTAATTAATTAATTTTAATTTTTTTTTTACTGGTGGTAGGACCTTTTGTGAGTCCGCACGGGTAGGTACCACCGCCCTGCCTATTTCTGCCGTGAAGCAGTACTTAATGCGTTTCGGTTTGAAGAGCGGGGCAGCCTTTGTACTGTTAAAAAGTGAGACCTTACAACTCATGTCTCAAGGTGGGTGGCGACATTTACGTTGTAGATGTCTATGGGCTCCGATAACCACTTAACATCAGGTGGACCATGGGTTCGTCAACTCATCTAAAAAAAACAGCCATTTAATGTTTAAATTTTGGAAAAAATGTAAATTATAATTTACATTGTACATGTAAATTATAATTTACATTTTTCCATATATGAATTTTCACTAGTCCTATATGTCACGTTTTCTGCAGGTTTCTTCGGTTCGGGAAACATTACAGAAATCTACAAGGGACTTAGACAATGACCAAAAAAATCATATAACACTCATTCTTATACTTGTTGAAAACTCCATCAATGCACAGAACAGACCGCATGGCGTTCAAATGTAGATTGAAACTATAAAGATACTTGCGTTTAACTTGAATACAATCTGCAAACACTTGCAAATATGAAAGTCAAACGTTACGAATAAAGTCTGTCGATCATGATTTAATGTTTTCATTAGAATCGTGACGTATCTATAACTAGTATTTATATAAAAAAATATTCAGTACAAATATTTACGTATTTATAATATACTAGCTATACCCGTCCGCTTCGCTGTGCATTTAAAATTAACATTATTACTTCTCACCCCCACAAAGATTTTCATCATTAACGCCCCCGCAACTGGTGTAGGGAGTCCAACACTCTTAAAAATATTAGCCTATCCATTGAGTACATGTATTTTCTACATGGATATCAAGTTTCAAGTCAATGAGATGCATGGTTCAGTAGTTATAACGGAACATCCGTGAAAACCACTGTAGATTTATATATTAGTATAGACTAGCGGACCCGATAGACATTGTCCTGCAAATATTCATTCAAGTCGATCCAGCCCTTTAGTTGCAGTACAGTTAAATAACCTAGATACCGACAGTAGCGCCATCTGCTGGGCTGATTTGTGAATCTAAACCATCCAGGGTGCCACCCAAACGCATACAAAAAAAAACATTCAAATCGGTCCAGCCGTTTAGGAGGAGTTAGTGACAAACACACGCACAGAAGAAATATATCTATAAAGATTGAATGATATTTTCACGCGTCCCTACATGCGTCTCATAAATAAGTCGATTTGATAAGTCGATCGATTTGAAGTCGTCGTGGCCTATAGGATAAGACCTCAGGTGCATTCGTATGTAGCGATGCACCGGTGTTCGAATCTCGCGGGCGGGTGCCAAATTTTCTAATGAAATAAATACCTACTTAACACGATTGTCTTTGACGGTGAAGGAATAACATCGTGTAATAAAAATCAAATCCGCAAAATTATAATTTGCGTAATTACTGGTGGTAGGACCTCTCGTGAGTCCGTACGGGTAGGTACTACCACCCTGCCTGTTTCTGCCGTGAAGTAGTAATGCGTTTCGGTTTGAAGGGCGGGGCAGCCGTTGTAACTATACTGAGACCTTAGAACTAATATCTCAAGGTGGGTAGCGCATTTACGTTGTAGATGTCTATGGGCTCCAGTAACCACTGAACACCAGGTGGGCTGTGATCTCGTCCACCCGTCTAAGCAATCTATAAACGAATTCATACCATTATACTCATGATACAGAGAATAATATTAGAACGTAATAATATGCAAACAGAAAAAACGTAAGCTTTCACATTTGATAAATATTCGACGAGCTGTTTGAGGGACGAATGTCTTTCGCAACAAAACTGACGTAGGCAGAACCCAGATTCTTGTTGAATCAATCATGATGTTCCTATACTACCAGATAAGTTTGATTACATTCAGAGGCGGGTTGACCGCTGCGTCACGTATCAGCCGAACCCGAGAATTTGGAAACAACGCACTAAAACTTCTCAATTATACATAGAACAACAAAATAACAACTAAATAATGTAATTAATTCGTCCTACCGAAAGCGGGTCTGCATTAAAAAGGAATATTCGGGTTTTGTTTATAATGATAATGACATACATTCATTACACAAATACCTTCCATATTTGAATGATAGTTAAATCATTATTTTTTTTAAATAATATTTGAGATTTATTTTTCACGAATCACAAAGGGTTTTGCTATGTTTAATTCATTGTTCCACGCCAGAATTTAATTACAAATTTAAAAATATCAAGTCCTTAATACCGTTTCTATTTTATAATCGTAAATAGGATTCTAATTTTAAAGTGAAAAGTCATTTTATAACGTGCAATTCAACTCTAAATTAGTTCCATTGGATTTTAAAAGTTATAAAGCACATTTAAAATAATATTGTTAAATACAATTTCGCTGTTTCAGCCTTGGCTCTCAACCCTGACCTTAAAAGTGATCAGCAAAAAAATTGTATTAATAAGTTGTTGTGTTGACTTACGTGCGTTCACTCCGGACCACGTCCACACTATGACTGACGACTTTATGTAATGTCCACTGACCGACGCGACTATCACTATTAAATTAATTGACTTTAGAACCCGCGATTCGATAGTGGCACGACATGTTTTTTTTTCTTTTTTTTCACAAAAATACTGCAGAAGCAAAAGAGGTTTATAATGTTTCAATCAATGCAGATTACAATCGAAATATTTGTTCCGTAGACACATGTCGTATTTGGATAATAAGATGTCATGTGTCTTTAAAACATTCGTTACAGAACACGGAAACCTATGTCTATTAATTATCTATTATTAAGCTCGCAACGGTTTATGAAGATTAGGATTTTTTTAAATAATGTAAACATGCTGGCTATACAGAAAAAAGTACGTTATGTTTATCAGCACCAACCGATAGATCTCTCACTATGATATTGATTAGTACTCCATGCGAAACTCAACTTAATTTTGACAGGACTTGAGTTGATGTTGACTCCGGTACCGCGCCGCTGGATACATCAACACATGAACTGGCCGCTTATTTACGCAGATCCACTAAAACCAGTGGTCGGCAACCTTATCAACCAAAAGAGCCAAATGTAGATAGAACACAATTGAAATTTATTCAAAAAAGCCATTTTTTTTTTAACAGATATTTTTATAATGCTGTGTTTAAAAATGTTTAATTCGTCTCTTAAATGACAAGTTAGTAAGTAATATTCCGTGTCTGAACCAAACATTTTCCGGGAGAGCCATAATCGAGGAGTCAAAGGGCCGCGATTTGTCGACCACTGGCCTAGACGATTACAAATATCGTGTCGTCATCGTATAATGTAAAACCGCGTTATGATGCAGTGAGTTTCACTACGCGCCTGTTTACTACAACACAATGGAGCCTGATAGTTGACAAATCGGCCGTGACCGCCGCGCCGCTATCCTTTCGGTTTTGTATTCGCGAAATTCTGTAGGACGAACACCTAGAAATGGTTATTTTATTTCGGAAGTAACATAACAGAACTTACGAGCGGTATTGACAGTTGATTCGGTAGAAAATAATCAGTTTTAATGCGACTGTTTGTTCTAATGTCGCATGTTATTTCTAATGCTGTGGAGATCATGATAGAAACATCAACAGCACGCAGCAACGCAGTACTCACGCTGACTTACCTAAGTAGTGACAAGAAGCTAAAGATACTACTTAATGGAAATGGTTTATGAGTCGATAGCAGCGGTTTGGCTCTGCCCCTGGCATTGCTGAAGTCCATGAGCGACGGTAACCACTCACCGTCAGGTGGGCCGTACGCTCGTCTGCCTACAAGGGCAATAAAAAAACAATAACAAAAAAGAGCATTGAGAAAAATATTAGTAAAACAGAGACATATTTGTTCGCGACATCGCTTATTCAATTATTTTCAAAATCCCCGGCTACTAAAATTCAGGTAGTATTTTGGATTGCCAAAATTAATAAATTATGGTGATTTAAAGGTATTGACATCGACAATATCTTCTACTGAGCGATTAATGCGGTCCGTTTACGTTCCGAATGTTATTGTTCGGAACTTGTATTAAAAATGTAAACTTATCTTGAAAATGTCGTTAGCGCGATTCGCGTATATGTCAAATAGAGTCTTAGCTATGTGAGCTACCGCTACAGTGGCTGATCAGCTGGCTGACTGCCTGCAGGCTGTCTAACTATGTCAATGTCGATAATGGTCGATGATTAGACGATCTTTTTGACCTTAAATTCGGATACGCGACCCGAAATAACTTGAAACACTGTCAACTCGTTCCATTAAAATCAGTGACTATTTTAAACTCTAAATCTAAAAAAAAACATTAATGAAACGGAGATGAAAACTCCACAGAATTTCTATATGCAGCCGACAATTTAACTTATGACGACGCTTGCAGCTGAAAGTACCTAAGTATTGTACTTTTTGACGAAGCATGTTGCTGATAACTTTATTTCTGTAATCTGACGAAGCATGTTGCGGATAATAACATGTACTTTTAGGTTAGGAATATTGTGTTCTTTTTTTTATAATAAATAAATTAATTATGTTTCAAAAAATTTTACTTCTGGTCATCAACAGGACTCACGTCATTACAAAAAAAATATTAAAAACTTTGCAGTGATTTTTTATACGAAATGGTCTGTCCCAAACCACGGTCTATCTATACTTCTATATACTAATATTATAAAGAGGAAAGATTTGTTTGTTTGTTTGTTTCGAATAGGCTCCGAAACTACTGGACCGATTTGAAAAATTCTTTTTCCATTAGAAGCCGACCTTGTCCCTGATGAACATAGGCTACTTTTTTTTTATTTTTTTTTATATTTTTTTTTGGTTTCATGTGTGTTTTAATGTTTCCGAAGCGAAGCGAGGGCGGGTCGCTAGTATATATATATATAAAACATCGCAAACATGAGAGGTCCAGCCAGAAGGATACACCAGGAAAAATATTTAAGGATCGAACAAGTTCGAAGCCTAAAGCTCACTGATGAACTCATACGTATTGACTCACGCTCGCGTCATCGATAATATTAGGACGCGTGATATTACGGAATTAAAAACGCCAGGTATTGTGCCTTAAACTTAACACAGACTTGTTTAGTTAGTAAGAGGTGGGGTGTGGAGGGCCGCTTGGCAACTGGTAGAATGTGTAGTGAGCCCCTTATGGTACTTATCATATATCCCGTGTCTGCCCAAAAGCAGTCATGCGTTCCGGTTTGTAAGAGGAAGAGAGAGAGAGAGAGAGAGAGAGAGAGAGAGAGAGGGAGTATTCTTTATTGTACACAAAAAAAGCGAAAAATTCAATACAAAAAAAAAGTACAATTGGCGGTCTTATCATAAGATCAGATGTCTATATAGAATTGTGGAAGTGGAAGTCAATCGTGAACGTTTGTTGAGTACGTATTTAATTAGAAAATTTGGTACCCGCTTGCGGGATTCGAACACCGGTGCATCGCTCGATACAAATGCACCGAACGTCTTATCCTTTAGGCTACGACGACTTCAAAAAGACTTAATACATTTTTTATTTTTTTTATTGCTTAGATGGGCGGACGAGCTCACAGCCCACCTGGTGTTAAGTGGTTACTGGAGCCCATAGACATCTACAACGTAAATGCGCCTCCCACCTTGAGATATAAGTTCTAAGGTCTCAAGTATAGTTACAACGGCTACCCCACCCTTCAAACCGAAACGCATTACTACCTACCCGTGCGGACTCACAAAAGGTCCTACCACCAGTGTAAAATATATATATTATTTAAATATCTATATATATAAAAATGAATTGCTGTTCGTTGGTCTCGCTAAAACTCGAGAATGGCTGGACCGATTTGGCTAATTTTGGTCTTGAATTATTTGTGAAAGTCCAGAGAAGGCTTAAAAGGTTTAGATAAATATGAAAATGCTCGGAATAAAATAAAAATAACAATTATGTTTTCCCTTTGAATTGTCCCCCGTCAGACGGATTCCTTTTGTTTATTTTAAGTTTATTTTATACTAAAGCTTAGATCTTTTAACTATAGATTGAGGCACTACGAAGTCTGCCGGGTCAGCTAGTAAGTAATAAAGTGTATCTAAATCCACGAGCGCCATATTTTCACATCGTGCCGTCTGTTATATAAACGTTGTCTTTATAAAATTATTTAGCACAAAAAATTCTCTTTATATTTTTCATGAACATATTAATTAGATATGAATTTATTGTGGAACCTTGTTAACAAGCCCACAATAGAACCTTCGTCTAAAGATATTATCTTGATTTTACATACAAATGAAGTGGCAGTATACTACATATGATAAACATGTCACAATCTAAATAAAATGCAGTACAAATTCTTTTGTTAATACAATACGATGCTACTTAGTTCGGGAGTTGACTCCATTACTGCTAAAATTGTTTCGGAACAAGCCAATAAACAAACGCCCACACATTAGCATCTCGGAACAGCGCAGTTAGAAGTTTTAGCGAAAGATATAGTGGCCAGAGGATTTAGGATGACGTCATATCCTCTCAGGATTTCCGGTCTACTCGAGTTGAGCCACTGCTCTCCCTTAACTAGGGGTAAGAAAGTAGGTTCCGATATTACACATACCTCAAGGCATTACGCTGTGATGTCTGAGAACTCTATTGACTGCACAGTGTGCTTAGTGCGATTTTTTAACGTTCTCTATAGCGTAAAAGTTCAATTTTTTTTTTATTGATTAGATGGGTGGACGAGCTCACAGCTCACCTGGTGTTAAGTGGTTACTGGAGCCCATAGACATCCTCAACGTAAATGCGCCACCCACCTTGATATATAAGTTCTAAGGTCTCAAGTATAGTTAAAACGGCTGCCCCACCCTCCAAACCGAAACGCATTACTGCTTCACGGCAGAAATAGGCAGGTTGGTGATACCTACCCGCGCGGACTCACAAGAGGTCCTACCACCAGTAAAAAACTCAAATATGTATGGCGTTAAAACGTTTCCTTTCGTTTGCCGCTAGGGGCGCTGTTATTTAACGCTATCGTGAACGTTAAAAAACTCGCACTAAGCACATAGAACATCAAAGTACCTATTTAGTTACCAACTTGTAATTTGTAGTGATAATTATTGGAGAATAGAAGATGTCGAACAAAACCCGAATCGTGTTAACGGCCTTACAAAAATTTCTTCCATAAAATTCATGTTTTAAGCAACAGGGTTCGGACCGTCGGTCGCAGTATTGACTTCTTTGGTGGACGATACTCCCTTTGACTTTCCTCTTTGAACTGGTAACCCTATCCTTGACTTTACTATGAAGGCAACTTAGTAGTCTTTGTCTACTTATTGTTAGTAACTTCGAAAGTTATTTTAGCTTCACCCGACGTGTAAGTGAACTCACAGGGCTCAACTTAGAGGCTTCCCCAACAGTACCTAGTCATGTTCATACATCAAACGTTCACACTTAGGTTTTTTTCCCTACCTATGCTGATAGCCTTGAGAGCCTATATCAGCTTTACCCTAGCGTGTAGGTGAGCTCTCAGGTTTCAATCAGATGTTACTATCACTGGCGCTAGCAAGAGCCGTGCTTCGCAGAATCTACCACCGGATCGGAAAAGCAATCCACTTAGAAGATCCGGCGAGAAGCTCAGTGGGCTGAGTGGCACTTAGTAAGCACATATTATGTGATGATTAGAAAAATTGGTACCTACCCGCGGGATTTGAACATCGGCACTTTACATCGTTCGATTCGACTACACCGGCCGGCGTATCCCTTAGGCCACGACTTCAAGACTATAGTGGTCTTCGATTTAATTTATGTCTATCCAAGAAAAAAACCTATCTTGTCGATTTTGAAGTCGCCGTGGCTTACAGGATAAGACGTCCGGTGCATTTGTATCGAGCGATGCACCGGTGTTTGAATCCCGCAGGCGGGTAATAATTTTTGTAATGAAATACGTACTCAACAAGTGTTCACGATTGACTTCTACGGTGAAGGTATAACATCGTGTACTAAAAAACGAAACCCGCAAAATTATAATTTGCATAATTACTGGTGGTAGGACCTCTTGTGAGTCCGCGCGGGTAGGTACCACCGCTCTGCCTATTTCCGCCGTGAAGCAGTAATGCGTTTCGGTTTGAAGGGTGGGGCAGCCGTTGTAACTATACTGAGATCTTAGAACTTATATCTCAAGGTGGGTGGCGCATTTACGTTGTAGACGTATATGGGCTCCAGTAACCACTTAACACCAGGTAGGCTGTGAGCTCGTCTACCCATCTAAGCAATATATATATATATTACTGAACTTTAGTCCGATTCTCAAAGCTATAAAAAATTCGGGACATGCTGTGATTTTTTCCAACCATTGCCTTTTTGTATGTATTAAGTTTAAAGGATTGTATTAAAAAAAACACACACACTTTTCCTTATTTTAATAAAAAAAAAATGCACAAAACGTTTCGCATTCCATATTCGTATCAAATCCACATCTTTGGGCAGTTTATAAACTATAGAGGAAATAAGTTGTATAATCTGTGAATTTTTTTTAGTTACATTAAAAAAAAAAAAAAAAAACTTGATAATACTGTTTTTATCTCCTGATATTGTTAATATTATGATTTAAATCTTCATACAACATTAAATGTGTCTACACAAGGACTATCCACCGTTGGTGGGTCCAGACAAATCCATATCAGCAAGCCACACAAGCATTCGAAGGAAAAATTTATATTTTCATACATTTTTTTTGTACATTTTATAGAAAACTGAACTTAATAGCAAATATACTTTAAAAATTCGATTTCCTGTTTATTGATAAACAAACATGGCGCGCGACTGTGACGTCACAAACGGATCGCATCGACCCCTCAAACGAAAAACTATTCCAAACTAATAATGAAACTTATGATTATACAAATTATTTCCATTTGCGATTCGAATCGCATTGTACACACAAAAAACATAATAGATCAATGTTAATTTGATAAAAAAGGCAATTAAAATGAGCAGAAAAACGTCTCATATAACGCCTTGAACTTAACTTAATAGGGACGTGTCATAAACCTCAACGACCAAACTCAATCAATCAATCTCTTGGGTTAATGGCGTTTCCTTATAGATTTAATGTCACAGATTGTAACTAAGAATTAAATGAGTAGCTAAGAATGTTTGATGACAGGAACGGCCGAATTCAACACCAGTAAGTTTCCATAGTTGGTCATTATTAACAAGTTATTCTTCTTCTTTATATTTTGACTCCGGCACGGTTTGTGCATTAGCCAGCGTCAAGTAATAAAAATTTTATAATTTGCCGTTTTAATTATTTAACAGTTTATGAATAATAATAAACGAAGGTAACTTAATAAATTGGCATGAAATGAGATGAGATGATAAGGGCCGAAATATAATCTCAGTAAAATGGTGGTCATTTACTGAGACTTTTTGGAGGATCCCGAGAAATGACGTCGAGCGATTTTGTTTCATTTTCCCACATTTGTGCACTTTCACAGAAACTAAACATTTAACCGATATTACACATTTAAACTTGAAGAAACACTAAATAGACAAAATAAAACAAATCACACAACTTCACTCCTCGTGTTCCCGCCAAAAAGCTCTGTGATCGACATTCATTTTAGCTTCAGTGTGTTTAGTGCGAGTTTCTTTACGTTTGCCGCTAGGGGCGCTGCTCCAACTCCATACAAATTTGAGTTAACTTTTACGCTGTCGAGAACATTAAAGAACTCGCACTAAGCACACAGATCTTTATCTCGTACTCGCGTGTTATCAATTATAAAATCGATATTTTTAACGATGAGAATCGTTAATCAGTATCGATTTAAAAACGTTTCGCCAGTCCCAGAGACGATTATAAAATCGATATTTTTAACGATGAGAATCGTTAATAATTTTCGATTTAATAACGCCAGCACCTGATCGTTACAGTTAGTTCATGACAGGTCCCGTGCCGCTTAAACTAAACAAAAAATATATATTGCGTCGATAATTTAAAATAACGTAATACCGTTTCTAGGTAGACGTCCGATACATTTGTAGATTTGATTAGAAAAATTACATAGGATATTCGATTTTATTTATATATTACAGTCTTGGTGTAGTAAGACATTTTTTTTATTATTTGATATCGCGTCTTATTCGTGTTGCTTTGGAAGCACACGGTGCTGTACTGACGGCCCACCTTACATGAAGCGGGCACCCGAACTCTCCAGAGACTAGGACACAAATGGTATTGACTCGAGTATTGAGGCTCGAGACGCACTGTACCATTTCGGGTCCATTGTAGTTGGAACTTGTGTATAACCTTCTCAGCCATTAAATCCCGTTAGATCTAAAAGCGGAGTTTTAAATTTTTCCTTTCATATCTACATTACAATAACACATTGTTCTAAAAGATAATTAATACTTAAAATATTCTGTCATTCATAAAGCACTTTATTTATCGATATCGAATTTTCATATTAAACAATTTCTTAAGAACTTGACCTGATCATTCTATGAGAGAAAATAATCTTCAATTTTAAAGTGGTCGGGCGGTGTCGTGGTACAATTTGTATGATGACGTCATTATTTAACAGAGCTTTATAGTATTGAACATAAATTTTGTTTTCAAATAACAATGGCATTTATAGTATAATAGTTATAGGTAAATGAAAGAACAGTCAACAGATTTTTTTTAAGTTGCAGCAGATCAAAGAGTATGTAATAATCGATTAAATTCGGACCACAAGATACTGTAGTTGTAATGTTAGGCAAATCAATAAAGAGCAAGTGTTTTGAATCACGTTGGTAATGTTAGTTTAATATGAAAATCCAACAACAAAATCGATTTTTGAAATCAATTTCTTTTAATTCTTTATCGATTTCATATTTATTTACAAAATTAATCATGTTGAAAAATATAATTATATCTCTAATTCTCGTCTATTCATAGACTAAAAATTACAAACTATTTTTATATTAACTATTACTATATTTATTATTAGTAACATTTTTTTTTTTTTTATAATTTCTAGTTTTAATAACATTTCGGATGGATTTTAATGTTTTCTTTAGAATTTTACTCAGTGAATAATTAATGTTTAATCTTTGAGAACGAACGCGCATTCGAATGAAACATCTGAAAAGCATTTTAGTTCACAATTCAAGATCTCCAAAATTAGGAAATTCCATGATTTCGATCTATCATTAGGTATATAAGCTCGTTTTGCTAGCCTAGGTAGTAAGCGAGCTTTGAAAGCGCGCGTTCTTAAACACATCGCGAGCTTGTCAATGAAATGCAAATATCTTGTTCTGCTTGTGCAAAACACAATTGAGGTGGTCGTATTCATAGACCACAGCGGTGGGGTTGTCGGGGTGGGGCGTGAGGACGATTCTCGATTTCTAATTGTATTTAGAGTACTATTTAAGTAGCCCAATGGATAAAATATGTGCAAGCTGCCGGACCTCAGGTGTTGTTCTGCGTCACGTTTGCAGTTTATCTTCTATTTACATTAACAGTTGAGCTGTGCTTTTTTTATCAAATAAGTTTTGACAGTTTGGTTTCATCAATCCTTTTGAAATGTACTTGTTTCTGTTGAATTATATTAAAAGCTTTATCGGACAGCGCTTCAGGACCGACCGGTCTCGGCAGTTTTAGTGGAACTAAACGAGGCAGTTAGGTGCGAAAGTCCGGACCGGCGTGTCGTGTCGTGGCGTGGCGTGTCGCGGCGCCGTCCACGTTCGATTCGGTACCGAGGCAGTGGGACCACAGCCGAGCTGCGGTTCCCCGTAACGTTCCACAAATTTGTTTTAACCATCTTCGGGTCCACGTCACTAATATTGAACTTGTAAACTTAAAATCCGAAGAGACGTCCCATAGTTTTTTGTTTAGTAGACAATATTTGTTGAAATTCTTCCGGTGCTAAATGCAATAACGTAGTAACTATTACGACAAATATAGCGCCGCCTTACATATTGTCGTTTGCAAACAGTTCTCATGATCGTTTTATTACTTTGAAACTGATAATTTGTGGCATTTAAAGTTCTTGTGTTCCCTGTCGTGCAGACCTGGGGCATCAGCCCGCGTTACATGAGGACGCACCTCTTGCCGTCCCTCTCGTCGCGCGGGAGGGGCGTGGCGACGGGCTCGGGCGGCGGCGCCTTTAGAGACTCCGGGTCGAACGTGTCCGGGGAGGCGACCGGCGCGGTTAGCGGTAGATCCGTATTGATCCCAACAATCTGTAATGTAATGTATTTGAGTTAAAGTTATCACTCTTCTAGTCGTCTCGTTATGGCAATTTATTTTGGTTAATTACGTATGGGCCTTGTGCGATGTGAATGAATATTTAAATAAAATCTAATATTTAAAAAAAAGACATGCCCGCTGAGTTTCTTGCCAGTTCTTCTCGGGACGAAGGCTAGTTTTTGTAAATTGGCGATAGTTCTTTTTGACGTTCAACAAGTGTTTACTTTCATTTATGTTGGATAAAAAAAAAATTTTTTTTATTTGATTTGATTTGTGCGGCCCGCTGCAGATAGCTGTTTTTGTAATGTGCTCTAAGTTCTATAATCTTGCGAGCCCTTGGACCCAAGTTAGCGTACTTAGGTGGCGCTGTTGGCACCACTCAGTGCGCGAGGGAACCGGCATAAAGCTGCTTGTATGTTTAACGAACGACAATTCCATTATTTCATTGTTTACCTTACTCCGGCAATGTCCTTACAACCAATAATAATACTATCGCTCATTGATTAATATCGGCTAATAGATGGCGCTAGTTACATTTTAGTAGTTACTTGTTTGAATGTCGTGGCCTAAAGAATAAGACGACCGGTGCATTCCTGTCGGGCGATGCGACTTTGCCTACGATTTTTTTTTCGAAATCTATGTGAAGCAGTCATGCGTCTGAGTTTGAAGGGTGGGGCTGCGGTCGTATGGTGAAACTGGGACTTAAAATTCATGTTTGAAAGTGGGTGGCGGCCTTTACGCTTTTGATGTCCATGGGCTCCAGTAACCAATTCACAAAAATAAGCAACAATATGTTTGCTGTACTGTTGTACTTGTTGTTGACAGACCTCGGGCGTCCTCCGCGGCAGGGTGACGAGGCCGACGGGTCCGCGGCGGAAGGGGGCCGCGATCCGGTCCAGCAGGCGGAGTCGCTTGTCGGAGTGCGGCGGAGAGTCTCTCTCGGGCTCCGGCTTCCGCTTCCGGCCGACCACCGGCGCCGTCGGGCGAGACTCTGGAATAATTATGTATGCAGATATATTTTTATGTTTGAAACGTTTCCAAGTTCTAACCTGCCATTATAGAATACAACTTTAACCGTGCGTCTTGAAGTGACCGACAGAATTCGTGTTGTAATGTCTCTGTGCACACTTATCAGCAGGTGCGGCGTTTTTACATAGTATATAAAATGAAACAAAGCCGCTGGACGTAACTTCTCGAGCGTTCTAGGTGCTACTAGATCCCTCGATATTCGTTCCGACTATTCGGCGATAGATGGCGTTACTCTTTCTTACCGGCGTAACAATATCATCTCATTTGTAAATTTAATTACATAGTTTTTAATCATTTATGTTATGTCGCCATTAGTTTCCTTCGTTTATTATTATTCATAAACTGTTAAGTAATTAAAACGGCGAATTATAAAAATCTTATTACTTGACGCTGGCTAATGCACAAACCGTGCCGGAGGCAAAATATAACGAAGAGGAATATTCATTCGCCGTCTTTTTTACACTGTAACGCGACGTTTGCTACTCTCTCACTCACCGGCGGCGGCGGCGGCGGCGGGCAGGGCGCTGCGGTTGGTCCTGGCGGCGGTGACGTGGCGGAGGGTGATCTCCTTGAGCGGCTTGTAGGAGGTCCTGCCCCGGATGGAGCGCAGGCCGCGCAGGTACGAGCTGTCGTCCAGCGCCGGCTCCTCCTCCGCCGCCGTCACGAACGAAGACTCGGTGATGTCCATCTCCATGGTCGTGTTGTTGCCTGCGAACACAATAACAATACATAATACACTTGCAGCCATCAATTATTGTCAGGTATAAATATATTTAATGCTTTTCTAAGGTCATTTTTTTTGAAATTTTATTTCGATTAGACAACATAACCAACCAACCAACTTAACTTGTTCAATTTTATACACGTCTAAAGAATAAAAAAAACTCAAACCATTATTTTTAATAATCCGGCTGAGACTTGAGTATAATATAGTATTCAGGTAGTGTGTTCAATCAGCAAGTGATCTGAATCACATTTAGATATGCTCAAAGTGTTCTACTAGAAATTTCAATTAAATAAAAAAATCAAGTAGAGATTCTACTTAACCAGATACTACAGCATGACTGTTGAACACACTGAAATTTGATACTTAAACATTGCAAAATAAAGTCAATGTTTTTAATGACAAACACAACGTTTTTGGCTAAGACTGGATTTTTCAGTTCTCATCATCTTATCAAAGTGAATCTTTAAGCGAAATCAATTTTCGAAGAGTGAACTCACCGGTGTAGTTGGCGAGGACGGAGCTGGTGGTCTGGTCGGCGAGCCTCATGCTGCGCCGGTACGGAGACACCTTCACCCTGGACTTGGAGTAGTTCGTGTCCACCTTCCGAGGCTCGTCTGTTTTAATTCGTCACACTACACTTATCTTTTGTATGCGTTTGCTTATTCAACATATTGCTAATTAATCTATACATATAAATAAAATTAGAGTGTATGTTTGTAATGTTGAAATAACCGCTTTTTGCTACATGCATATGAATATATATACGGTACATACACCAAAATAAAATTTTTTACAATTTTTGTCTGTCGGTCTGTTTGTTCCGGCTAATCTCTGGAACGGCTGGACCGATTTTGATGAGACTTTCACTATTAGCTAGCTGATGATATAAGGAGTAACTTAGGCTACTTTTTTCAGACTAGCTTCGCTCCACGGTGTCACCCGCAGTTATTGCCGTACCGCGCGCAACATGGCGGGACTCGCCTATTTCAATAATAAAATTTAATGTTTCCGAAGCCAAGCGAGGGCGGGTCGCTAGTTATTATATAAAAGTCAGAGGAGCTGAGTCCTCCCCTGCGGCCATCGGTGGGGGACGGGGAGGGAGGTGTCGATCCCCACACACGTGTATGTGATTGGTTTAGTTTATATGCGACTACGGATATCATTCTCTGTTTATTACACTTTGCGTAATAAACAAATATAGTTATTTATTTGAAAACATCATGAGCGGTTGCAACTTTGATCGCCTTTTTACATAGGTATTTACGATTATTTTTATTGCCTTGTTACAATTGCATGAAGTCATTGTGATGATTGTATGGGGTCTAACAGATGGTGAGTGGTCACAAGCATTGCCAGGGGAAAACCCAGCTGGTGCCAGGTGAGATAAGTATTTCACTGTAAAGTTATGCTTCTGACAGTGCCACTGTCCGTGGGCTCCAGTTACTGCTTCCTACCAAGGTTGTGCGTTTATCCACTTGACTGACCGGGAGCAACCCATGTCCGATGTCTCATTCACAGTATTAACTCACCATCAGCTTCGATTTCCACTACGACTTCGACTTCTAACTTGTCCGCTCTATCTCCACTGCTTTCCTCATTCACTTCTTTTGCTTCTTCTATTTTCTTTTGCTCTTCAACCTTTTGGGTCTTCTCTTCAAGGTTTTGAGGTTTTTCTGCTTTTTGGTCCTCAGCCGCCTTTTGATCCTCTCCTTCGGATTCCTTGGGGGGCTCTTCCTGTGGCTTCTTGTCTTGTGGTTTAGGAGAATCGGCAGAACGCAATTTTCTGTCTGATGCCAGAGTGTCATCCTTCAGTTTAAGCACTTTAGAATCTTTTGGCTGAAAATTTTCAAAGAAATTATTTTAAACGTTCATTTATATAGGAATTGGTAAGTTAAAATATTTACATCAGCTTTAGGGCAATTTTTTTCAAGTTATTGTAATGCACAGTTATATATAATACATTCACAATAATACAAGCAAGTGATAATTAGTTAAAACAAAAAGTAAAGTAAAGTTAAAGTAATAAAATAAGATTAGTACTAAGCGAGGTAACGGCGTGTTTTAACAAAAACATTAAGAGCTGGTTAAATAACTGGACAGATTCACATTATTAATATAACATATTAATATAACGACATAATTTCAATTTGAAAAATCACTTTTTTTGTTCTTTTTATTTTAATAAAAAATAGTTTTGATTGGTTACAAATAATTAAGAAGGGCAAGGTATTATGCACAATAAAGTATTGTCCATATAAATCCATATAAATAATAAATAACTTTGCTGGTAAACAAGTAATCTTTGATTTGGAAATTATAATAATATTAAATATTAGTATTAAATAATATAGTTTAACAAACACAAAAAGAACATTGGAAAATAACAAAGGACACTAAAAGTTTATTTATTTATTTTTTATATGTAGTGTGATCCTGTGCCGGGCTATTACTCAGAGTACTATTAGTAATGAAGTTATTATAGTGTCATTGGTCTCTGATATATATATTAATTTTTAAGTAAACATATCAACTTCAAGTCAGTGAAGATTATGTTGGAGGTTTTGTTTCATAGATATACATACAAATAAACACAGATTGAGCTAATAAAAGCATGCAGTTAAATTGATTTCCAGTTTTGTATTAAAATAATATATATTTATTGATACACTCCATTGTTTAGTTTAAACATACGTTAACCTCGTTTTAAAATTAGTTTGTGAATAAGTTAAGTACACAATTAAATGTATTTAATGTATGAAATTAAGGTGACTGTGCTTATAGGAACCGACCCTCACTGAAATTTTAATGGTTGAAAAGTGAGATGAGTTACGTCAATCTTACAGTACTGTGGACGGCTTAATGCAAATATTACGAGTAGTATTTTTCATTTCAAATGTTTATCAATCACCGATTTAATTAAAAAAAATAATGTTATAATGCCTTCCCACTCTGCAATGGGGTTTATCGAAAAACTTTAATTTCGTAAATAAAACTGCATAAATTGACTACGGTTTATATGTTTAATGTTTGATTGGTTCCTTCTCGCGCAACCACGTTCACGTGTAGACGGTACAGCTGGCGTAGAACTCTGAGGGAGGTGCGTGCGGGCGCCAGCTGTACCGCGCTTAGGACACTCACGTGGTCGGCGCCGTCCGCCGCGGTCTGCTTGTCGGAGGCCGGCCGCGGCGTCTCCGGGCTCCGGCTCGCTTTCACCTTCACCACAACACGGTACATTTACACACGGCACTAACGTCTACATGTCGCCTTCCGTTTCGCGTCTCGTCCGATCGCACAGAGCTGTATGCTTAGTGCAGCGGCCGGGGAACTTTTTTAATTATTACCCCAAAATATTTTTGTGTAAGTTGATATTACCCCATGGCGAAGAACAAAAAAAAAACGAAATCGCTTCTTTTTCGTATCTTTCATATTATAGACCCCATGATAATTGTGAAAAGAAAACAATAAGTAAAAATTTAACGATTCTAAAGAAGCTTTACTTTTTTCTCACAATAGTTATGAAACTTTTACCCCCCAAAATTTCATTTTACCCCATTTGGGGTAATTCACCCCGGTTCCCCGACCGCTGGCTTGGTGGGAGTTTTTTAACGTTCTCGATAGCGTTAAAGTTAACTCGAATTTGTATGTTGAAACGTTTGCCGCTAGGGGCGCTATTCCAACTGCATACAAATTTAAGTTAACTTTTACGCTATCGAGAACGTTAAAAAACTCGCACTAAGCACACTGTACGCGTTTAAGTTACTATAGATGGTAATTTGCCTCTGTTACGGCAAGCCAAAGCGGAGACCGGTAATTGTTTTTTTTTTTAATCAGTTGCGATTAACATTTAGTTTCTATTCATTTAATTCAGTTATCGCATGAATAACGAAAGTGCGTATTAAGTCGTCCATATGCACGCGGATTGCGGCGGGTCGAGCGTTTCTTTAATTATCGAACACATTGTTTTGTGCCAAAGTGTATGCTTAAAAGTTAATTTTATTTCGAATTTCGACAAGTAACTATTATTGCCGTGTGTAGTAGTTTGTTAGAATGATGAAATGTATTATTTAAAACTCACATAATTTTTCCATGAACATGCATTTTTTTTACATAATATTGAACTCCCTGAGTTCTATTAAGTTTAAAATAAATACAAATTATGCTGTAGATTGCGTTCCCAATCAACCCATCGTTAAGTGGTTGTCGGTCCCATAGACATCCCAACGCGACACATTCAATCATTAGGTCAATGTATAGTTATCAGAACGCTGCCTTCATAAGAGCTTTCATACAGAATCCGCAGCAAGCGAACGTCCATTTTATTCATCAGACCTTCCCAATACGCACAACCCTGTCAGGCGCCACACAGCTACATAACACAAAATATCCAGGTACCCAGGGCCCTTCCCTGTCAGGCATCACACAGATAAATAACACAAAATATCCAGGTACCGAGGGCCCTTCCCAATACGCACATCCCTGTCAGGTGCCATACAGCTACAAAACACAAAATATCCAGGTACCGAGGGCCCTTCCCAATACGCACATCCCTGTCAGGTGCCACACAGCTACAAAACACAAAATATCCAGGTACCGAGGGCCCTTCCCTGTCAGGCGTCACACAGATAAATAACACAAAATATCCAGGTACCGAGGGCCCTTCCCAATACGCACATCCCTGTCAGGTGCCACACAGCTACAAAACACAAAATATCCAGGTACCGAGGACCCTTCCCTGTCAGGCGTCACACAGATAACACAAAATATCCAGGTACCGAGGGCCCTTCCCAATACGCACATTCCTGTCAGGCGCCACACAGCTAGATAACACAAAATATCCATGTACCGAGAGCCCTTCCCAATACGCACATTCCTGTCAGGCGCCACACAGCTAGATAACACAAAATATCCAGGTACCGAGGGCCCTTCCCAATACGCACATTCCTGTCAGGCGCCACACAGCTAGATAACACAAAATATCCAGGTACCGAAGGTAGGTAGACCTTCCCAACACGCACATCCCTGTCAGGCGCCACAGCTAAATAACACAGAACACAAAATATCCAGGTACCGAAGGCGGGTACCTGCGATCGCCTAGTGAAGCTTCGACTAGGCAGATTCTCAGGCGTCGGGGGCTCGAAGCCTTCAATGTCTGAGTCATCGTAAGCCAGTTCCGGGAACAGCTCGTCTTGTGGCTCGTCATCGTCAATGACCAAGGCCTCGTCGTCCGTGTCACTCACCGTGCCGTTGGCGTCTTGTCCGCCATTCGACGGCGTCTCGGTACCGTTACGTACGTCGTTTCCGTTCTCTTTCGGTTTACCATCCGGTTTGTCGGGCTGAAACGGGTTTTTAGTTGGGGGTCGTTATGGATTCGGGTACAAACGAATTTGGTCGATGTTATTTCGACATAATGAACTCCCTCGATCGACGCATTCTCGACTTGTGATCCAATATAGGAGAACATTTTGGTCCTACCCGCGTTTTATATAAATATACCATAACTTTATGTATTTTACAAGAGAATTTATCGGAACAGGTACATATTTTAGTAGAAGCATGAGAGAAACGCAAACAAGAACTATCTACGCAAAAACTCATAAAACTCTTAAGAATATTTCACAAGTACCTGATAAATTTATACCTCCATATCAAAATTATTTATCCAAACAATGTAACTGTACAACCGTTATAATTGAGACCATATCAGAAATACCAAGCAGTGAAAGAATACATCGAAAACTAGTGTCTTTTGATAGCAGTAGTATAGTGTAGTATAGTAGAGTAGTAGATAACAAAAAGTATTTTCTTAATGGCAAACTTTATCAGAACTTGTGACGAATTTTGGCTCCAAATGAAATTTATAATACCTTTCCACTCTTTTCGGTTTTACTGTCTTCTTTCTTCTCTTGAGGACTGTCTTTTTTCTCCGTTTCCTTCTTATCTTTTTGGTCTTTCTTGTCTTTTTCTACGGGCTTCTCTGGTACCTTTTCTTGTTGTTTGTCAGATTTCTCCGGTTTTTCGGATGTCGTCTGTTTATCTTTTTCCGCGTTCGCAGTTTTCTTTTTTACATCTTTCGCTGGGCTGTCTGTTTGTCTCTGTAATTATTATTTTTATGTTTAGTAAATAAAAACTACTTAATTTCATAATTTTGGGAATCTTAATTCAATTCATCCACGTTTAATTTTAATACATTTATCGTTTACATTATCATCACGTCAGCTGGAAGGAGTAGGTGCACAAGAAATAATATTTAAGCACATCCATATATCAAGATGAGGATTCACATAAGACTGTGTGATATGTAACTTCGTGAGGTCAAGAAGTTTTGATAACTTCGAAGTCGTCGTGGCCTAAAGGATAAGACACCCGGTGCACTCGTATCGAGCGATGCAATTCTACCGATAATCAAATCCCGCGGGCTGGACCCATTTTTGCAACGAAATACGTACTTAACAAATATTCACGATTGACTTCCATGGTGAAGGAACAACATCGTGTAATAAAAATCAAACCAACAAAACTATGATTTTGCGTAATTACTGGTGGTAGATCGTCTTGTGAGTCCGTAGGTACCACCGCCCTGCCTATTTCTGCCGTGAAGCAGTAATGCGTTGCGGTTTGGAGGGTCGGACAGTCGTTGAACCGTAAAACTGAGACCTTAGAACTCTGGTCTCAAGGTGGGTGGCGACATTTACGCTGTAGATGTCTATGGGCTCCGGTAACGATTTAAGACCAGGTAGATCGTGAGCACGTTCACTCATCCGAGCAATACAGAAAACAAACCCTACCTAATCGCTAGTAACCTCTAAGGACTATTCTAGAAAGGCACGGCTTGGTAGGTGAGCTCACGGATTTATTTTTTAAAATGTCTTTACTAGTGTACTTAGGAAAAATTGGCAATGGTAATATTGTATAGTTAATAGGTAAATCAGCGTACGCATTTACTGAAGATTTATTATTAGAGAGAAAAACAAAGATAATAAGAACAGGAAGTAGGAAAACGAAAAAATGACGCAGATAAAATAATAAAACACAGATTAATAATTTTAGGTAATTATTGTGAGATCGCCAATTTGTACTGTGAAGAATCAATCATGCGTTGCGGTTTTAAAGGATAGGAACTTAAACTTGCTAAAACTAACCGTAGCAAAAGCAATGCTTCGCTGAATCTACCGTCGACTGAGCATCACGACCCATTGAGTAGATCCGGCGAGAATTTCAGTGGCTTGTGTCTGTGGGGTTTCAATAACGACTGTCCCTTACCTACGACCTGACACATTGTCCTTTGTGACAAAAATATAGTAGGGTAACCGAACAAAACTCCTTCAACCTAAATATTCAATATTTACCTTTTCCTTTTCTTCACCTATGGCCCCTTTACGTGTTGTTACTTTTTGACTCATGATTTACCTGAAACAAATGACAGTATAAGTCCGTTGTAAGCTCCCTTCATCATAAGATAAGTGACCACGCCCCCCCTCCGTAGGGCTCTACATCAATGATGTAACGTCATATGCTCTAAGCCCCAATTCAATTAAGAACATCTTAGTGATTAGGGGGACAATTAGGGATCGCATTATTGCTTTGGTTCAAAAATACGAATAGGTAAAATGAATGAAATTTTAACAAAATATTATACTGGATTTTTTTATTTATTAAAATAATTGAATTAAATAAATAAATTTTAGTAGTCTATCACAATGTCTCTTGGTTAATAAAATTGCAATTAGATGAACGAATTAAGTCTAAATTCTTAAATCAAATACCTTTTTTTTTCCTACCTAAGCTAGCCTTGAGAGGCTATTTCAACGGAACCTTAACTAGTAGGTGAGCTCACGGGGCTCAAACCTGACGACATCAAATATCACTATCATTATTCTAACAAAATTAAAAAGCATTCCCTAAAATTTTAAACACACCCATAGGAGCGTGACGTAACAAGTGATTTAAAATGAACTTTGAGTTCAACGTACTTCAACATGCACACATTGAAATACATCATTTGTGGTCCAAGTTAAATTACATGAGCGATTTTTATTAGATTATTTTACGAGAGTGAGCAGAGCCGTCGTGATGTCATTACAATTTACAATACAAAAATATATAATAAATTGAGAACAGCGAGTACTCGAGAACACATATTTAGAATCACGTTTCTGTTATGAACTTATGACGAATAAATGTAACAAAGAAAAGAATTTCGAATAAGCAACTTGAAAACAATTTCAAGTCGTCGCGGCCTAAAGGATAAGACGTCCTCTGCATTCATATCTAGCGAAACAACGGTGTTCGAATCCCGCAGGCGGGTACCAATTTTTCTAATTAAATACGTACTCAACAAATGTTCACGATTGACTTCCACGGTAAAGGAATAACATCGTGTAATAAAAATGAAACCCGCAAAAACATAATTTGTGTAATTACTGGTGGTACGACATCTTGTGAGTCCGCACCACCCTGCCTATTCTGCAGTGAAGCAATAATTGTAATTATACTGAGACTTTAGAACTCGTACCTCAAAGTGGGTGGCGCATTTACGTTGTAGATGTCTATGGTCTCCAGTAACCACTTAACACCAGGTGAGCTCGTCCACCCTTACATGATGTCGCACTTTAAAACGAATTAAGGTTCAATCAAGTTTGTAATTTATGAGGATTTCAAGAAGATGCTCTGTCTCTCCACGTGGCGAGTTTTGGTGCGTGTGAATCGCTAGAATTATCATTTCGACCTAACGTCTGAAGACTGATCGCGGAATTCACATTGTGATACCTATGGGCTCTGTGGCCATATCACACAGTAACCACGTAAGCTCGTCTGTTGACTAGTATCATAAGAAAAACAGTAAGTGTACTGTTTATTGAAGCCAAAAAAATAATTAACATTCGCCTTCATCCTATGAATTACACCAAATTTAAAAAATTCTAGCGCTCGAAAGGCCATCTTAAAGCCGAGGGGACCCTTCCTTAGTGGCTATATTGAACAGATGCAAACAGTTTTTCTCTCTTTGTTTTATGATAGAATGTGCTCATTGACTGAATATAAAGAGATTAGATGTAAGTATAATTATTGCCTGCATGCGTTTGAATCTATAATACAGCAAACAGAACATCAACATTCTTATAACCTTTATCTCACCAGGCTGGGGGCAACAAAATACGTACATAATATCACTGTTTTGATAATAAATCTGATGACAGAATCTATACATCTGCAATAGAAATGAACGCGGGAACTTTAAAAAAACAACCTTTAGTAAGAAATCGACCCAAAAGTTAAAATAATATTTTTGTTTAGGCGGCTTATCCTGGTCAGGATATTAGCGGCAAGATAATAAAATCATAGAATCGTTTTGGATACATAAAAAAACATACAATTTAATCTGACGTTCTTAGGTCAATCAAATCCAAACGCGTTCGATAATAGCTTAGTGATCGTGTTCTATGATCACGCGCTATTTTTTCGATCGAGTCAAAGCTGGATTTCTTGTTCTTGCCCCTTTGATAATGTTTAGTTCCCCCAACGGGCGGCATGTTGTAGGAAAAGACTTTTTTTTTAATCGCCCGCGCTGTTCAAATACCGCTCGTGAAATAATTAAATAAATTGGTAATAATTTCCGAGGTTCCTACTAAATTAAGCAACCTGCCAAGGTTGTGTTAATTGTTTTACGTAAATTCACTAAATTAATTGAAAGATGAATTATTGAATATTAGGCAGCCCCTGGCATTGCTGAAGTCCATGGGCGACAGTAACCACTCACCATCAGGTGGGCTGTATGCTCGTCTGCCAACAAAGGCAATAAAAAAAAAGTTAATTCAATATTAATGTACCGTTCCGATATTTTATTAGAAAACAACATTCTTAGTGTTAAATTAGACGAATATACATTTTTTATGGCTTTTGTAGGCAGACGAGCTTACGGCCCACCTGATGCTGAGTCACCATCGCTCATACAACCAAGCCGTTGCCTACCGCAAAACACAACGTTTTAGGTAGATCTTTATGTAGACTGGACATCTACATACAGATGATTTTTTCACAACACCCCTAAAATTTTATTTTAATAAATTAGAGGGGTGAACGAACTCACGGCCCACTTGATGTAGAGCAGTTATCGGGGCTCATAAACACTACAATGGATGTGCCGCCACCTACCTAACGAAAATAATTTTCAATTTTAATGCACAACAGCTTTCCCACCGGCAGAAATAAATGCAGCTTCGAATGATGCGTGTCAGAAATGAATTCTGAGAACGCTCCGTAGATGAGGGCAGTGGTTACAAAACAATTGCGACTCGGACCTCATGTCTCAAAGGTAACGACATTCACGTTGCAATATCTCCGGATCGCATGACCTTTATAGCAGTAAAATGAAAAAAAAAAAAACAACTAAAACTCAAACGAACCAAAACTTTTATTATTTCAGCATCCATTCACGCGTCGAATCATGAATTTTTTTAACATTCACAACACATACACACCTAAAAACAGGCCTCAGATTTTAAATGTAACAAGGTCACACATCCCACACTTAAATCTAGAAATAATATACTGAATCCAAAAACGACAGTCTTTTTGCTTCTTGTTTCACTGAAGCCTGTACATTAGAGAGAATCCTTAGAAAGAAAAAAACCATTATTTATACTAACATTATATAGCTGAAGAGTTCCGTTTGTTTGAACGCGCTAATCTCAGGAACTACTGGTTTGATTTGAAAAAATATTTCAGTGTTAGATAGCTCATTTGTCGAGGAAGGGTATAGGCTATATAATATCACGCTAATTTTTACTGGTGGTAGGACCTCTTGTGAGTCCACACAGGTAGTTACCACCACCCCGCCTATTTCTGCGGTGAAGCAGTAATGCGTTTCGGTTTGAAGGGCGGGGCAGCCGTTGTAATTATACTGAGATCTTAGAACTTATATCTCAAGGTGGGTGGCAGCATTTATGTTGTAGATGTCTATGGGCTCCAGTAACCACTTAACACCCGGTGGGCTGTGAGCTCGTCGAGCCATCTAAGCAACAAAAAAAAAAAAAAAAATACAATCGGAGCACCAATAAAGAACGTTTCAAAATCGGGTTTTGCCAAAGTAACTATTCNTAAGCAACAAAAAAAAAAAAAAAAATACAATCGGAGCACCAATAAAGAACGTTTCAAAATCGGGTTTTGCCAAAGTAACTATTCCACGCGGACGAAGTAACGGGTAAAAGCTAGTTCAATAATATTGAGACAAGTCTAGGGTTCCTTGAGTAGGGACATTCACCTTGTATTGTCTATAAGTTCCTAGTTTCTTAAAACTGAGCAATAGTAGCGCAAAGTATCATATCAGTCATCACTTGCCACTTTATAAGTCTGCTCAATTGTCACCAGTGAAATATCAAACAAGTAGCACCAAAGAAAAACACTAGTCGATAATATAATCAATATTCGACAGATAAAATAGATAAACCTATTCTATTCATGTATTTATTTCATTCAGCGTCATTGTTGCTCAACGCTTGAAGGTTATTTCTGTTACACGAAACCTCTTTTGTTAGAGAAATAGGTACATTATGTATCGAAAAAAAAAGATACCCAAAAACAGCCTACACTTTTTTTTTTAATGAAGTCCGCTTATGTATCTTCTTCGGAGGCGCTCGGGCAGCTGTTAGCAAATCCCACCCCTCCTGGCTGAGTCTTGCTCGCCCACCTGAGCTGGCGAAACTGGAAAGGCCTCCGGGCCACCAGTAATACTTCAATCATAAAATAATAATAATAATAAAAGCATTTGTTTGCAGATTCAACATCACAACAGACCGGACGTCAATGCATCAGCGCTCCCTCATCCGTTTATACAATATTACAATATAACAACTTATTTACACACTATTACACTATTGAGCTCAAATGAGTAGATATTAATCACAAGACTCATGTACTGTCTTGATCTCCAATTACAGGTTACTTTTTCACTACCATTCGTCCAAATCAGACTATTTTTTTCTCCCTATCTAGAGCATTTGCTAACACTAGCCCTAGCAAGAGCAGCGCTTCGCGGGGTCTACCACCGGATCGGAATCGCGACCCTCTGAGAAGATCTCAGTGGGCTGTGTCTATGGATTGAAATCCGACCAAGTCCTTTTCAAGTATTTGTGGTAGGCAAGTGGCAGGTACGGCACCATTCTACATTCAATTAATTACGATTTCCATTTTAACGGATAGGACAGTCGTTGTGTTTCTATTGAAACATTAATCTTACGTCTCAAGCTTATAGTCACATTCGGACTGTGGTCTAGACTAATAGCCGATTATGAAGTTGGCGGTGACACTTATTTGAACGGCCAGAAATGTTTCAATAAGATTACGTTAATGAAATTGAATAGCGCAATATTTAACATAATATTATACATATAGTTAATAAATAGCACACGGGT